GAAATACTGTCACCTTTTTCAAGAAACAGGAAAATATTCATTTCTTACCATTTCGTCAACCGGGAAAACATGTATCCATCGACGACGGTTCGCCGTGATTCTAACGTAGAACTGATCCGGTCGAAACGGATTGATCAGTGACCGGTGTGAAATGGTTTCCACTTGTGACCCCAAACCACGACGATTTGGAAGAGTTGTGCCTCGTTTGTTATTCGGCTGATTTAAGGAGCCTAAAAATCAAGAGCGCTCAGATGAATGATGCTTGCTGATGGATGTCAGGCTTGAAAGTAGTTGCCAATCGTAACGCAGAGAGCAATGCACACTTCAAAACTATGCTAACAGAAGTAACCGATGGCAGGCAAGGACTGCAGAAATGTAGCAAATCCGAGGTGTACATAGGATGGATTCACTGATGGTTATCGTTAGCTAAACAAAACTGTAGCAGTCAAGATGCTCACGCTTTACTTGCCATCAGAAACTTCTGATAAAAATACTCTTATTTTCATTTTTAAGCTTTCTCCACATACACATTCATTTACTGGCCTCTACTACAATCCTCTTTACTGTCTTCTCCAATCGCCTCCTTCTCACCTCCAACAAAACGCTTCTGCTCAAATGACCCACTCTCAACAGCATTACGCATTGCAAAAGCACATCCTCCGTTATCCAACGAACCAACTCGAGCTGAGAGCGACTGAAAATTTAGAAAAAAAATGTTTAGGAAAGAGTGGAACTGTATACCAAGAAAGTAACGCTTACCCTCTCATAAGGAGGATATGTTATCGATTCTGGTGGAACTGGTGGCAGTCCTAATTCTTTACGTAATTCATCTATAGCTTGCTGACCTTTACCTTTCTCTCCAAACCTGAAGTATAAAAACGTAGCGGAATTGGTGAGTTGGAAGGTAAAACAAAGGAAAAGGAAAGCATTCAGCTCACGTGTAACACGACAACGTGGTCTCAAAGCAAGCGCAGATGTTGCGTACTAATGCGTGGTTCAACAGACATGGTCCCTACCAAGACAGAGCTTGTGACTGGGCGTGGACTAGAGCGCTTTCACGGCGGCCTTTCCACCAATGATGCCATCTGTGAGCGCGCGACAATTGGCGAGAAGCCTGTTCTACTGGGATCCAACCCACGCTCCTCAAAACCTTGAAGCTACCTGAGACCGGTGGTCGAAATCTCCGCGTTATGTACAACCAGTCGCCTCGCCGGCTGACGCCGGCGCGGCTCCTTCTGATACGGCCCGGCTGCGCCGAGCGGGCGCGGCTTCGCCGCGCGTACCTTCTCTCACATATTTCTAGACTCAACTGATATCCGCCTTTTGTTCTGTACTCCACTTTTCTCCGGTGTCTGAAGTACTCTTGAGCTATTTTACAGATTCTTCGTCTGACTCCGCCCACCTCAGAGCAGACCCGCCCACAATTTTTGTGCCCCACACTCTTCACCGGCGACCCTCTGCTGACCTTAATCCACTTTTTTTCGGTGTCTGAAGTGTTGCTGGAAACCGCTCTGCAGAATTTTTGTCTGGCTCCGCCCACCTCGAAACAGGCTATGTCCCCAATTTTTGTGGCCCGCAATCCTCACTGGTGACCTTAATTCCACGTTATATTTCGGTATTTGGAAGTGCTCTGGGAACCGTTTCTGCGAGGATTTTTTGTTTGACTCCACCCACTTCGGAGCAACCCGCCCCAATTTTCGTGCCCCACAGTCTCACCGGCGACCCTCTGCTGACCTTAATCCACTTTTTCCGGTCTTTGAAGTGCTCTGGGACAGTTTTAGAGAATTTTCGTCTGGCTCCGCCCACCTCGGGCTGGCCCCGCCCACAATATGTATACCCCACATTTCTCAATCGGCAACCCTCTGCTGACCTTAATCCACTTTTTCCCGGTTCCGCGGAGTGCTCTGAAACTATTTTACAGATTTTTCGTCTGACTCCGCCCAAACCGGAGCAGGCCCCGCCCACAATGTTTGTGCCCCACAGTCCTCACCGGCGAACCTTTGCCGACCTTTAACCCACGTTTTTCCGGTCTTTGCAGTGCTCTGGAACCGAGCTAAACTTTTAAAATGAGTATCCTGCGGTTTAGGGCAAGCTCCGCCCACTGTGGGCGGATCTCAACACATTTTGAGCGTGCCCAATACTCGCCAGATATTTACATTCTACACTGAGATTTTTTGCGGCTTCTGAACACTCTCGCGAACCGAGTTACTGAGTTTTATGCGAAGCACCGCCCACCTTGAGTACGCCCCGCCCATTTTGGATGTGTCTGCCACAGTTAGTCTGGCGACTCCTTACTAACCTTATTCCTTTTTTTTTCCCATCTTAGCTGCTCCGGAAGCGAATTATGAACATTTTTCTGCGGAACCCCAAACTGTTCATTAGCGAGTGACCCGCCCATATGGGCGGGCTTCGCATAGGTCGAAGCGTGCTTTTTATTTCTTGATTCGCCACCCTTCCGAGTGTTCTACCCATCCCTCACCTTAACCCGACTCTCTAAACGTTCTTCAGGTCGAACTGATTTCCAGACAAACCTTACAAACAAAGACAACAACAGACGAAGCGACATTATATATTGGATGAATATTGACCGGAATGGGCACCAGTTTATTTCTCATCAACTGTTATCGACTGCCCACTCCAACGATTGCTGAAAAACGAACTAGCGTATGTCAAGCCCAGCATCCCGCGCCCGATACCCCGTCATCTGCAGGCGAGAACAAATACTTACTCATCTCTATACTCCAATTCTGATTCTGATACCTGGTCTGTGTTAGCAATTTGGAAAACGCCTCATTGTCGTACGCATGCATATCACAATGTTGTACCGGTCTCTCCATTCATTACCAAAGTTCGTGGTGCAGACTAAAAACACAGCTACTCAAGAAAAATACGAAGATCATAGGTGAGCTAAGCCATGGCCCTGTCCTTTTGTAATGTTATTGTTTCGCAGAACGCTCTTTTATGAATCCCACATGGGCATGTGGGCGGAAACCCTCACTCTCTCACACCTTTTCATAGACAGCGGTTCAGACTTCGCAGATCGGATCAATGAATGGATCGTGCGATCGAATCGTTCAGTGGATCGCTCGATTAAAAGTGAGGGCGTTCTATCGCCAACGCCGCAACGACAGCATTCAAATCGGGCTGCGTTCACACAGTGGCAATTTGAATTGCGCCGTTAAGCAGTGTACAGTTTGATCCGGCCACATCGCGCGATCCAATCGCTAGAGTGACCCGCTAACCGCCGAAAGTCTGAGAGCCCAATACATTTCTATTATCTCAACAATAAACTATTCTCTATTTTTCTGCTTTCGGTACCCTTCCTTTGTAAAACTAGGAAACTCTCTCATTCACTCCAGTTCGCACTAGAACTTCCACGATATTCCCATATGTGGTGCGAAGACTTCCTTACTTCATCGTGGCATTTCACACTCACCAACATTACATTCGGCAGGTTAATGCGTGGGCGAAAGTTGATCGATATAGCACTACGTTTGCTCATCCGATAATACGAGTAATTCATCCAGTGAGGTATAAAATAGTCTTCGAATGGTTGTGACGAAGTCCATCGGTTGTGAAACACCAAACCAGCGGCCACAGCGCATGCAGAGGCTGCTCTCCAAGCGCACACCTAAACAAGGAAATTTGTGAAGGAATACTTCACAGTATGCCATTCTGCGATTACCATATCGAGCGAAATTCCCATATCGATGATTCGCTGCTTTGTCATATTCACCATTTCACGATCCACATTCAACACACCACCACCGGGGGTCACAAATATAATCTTAAATATGGGCGATACTGTATCGAACAACTTGTAAACAGGTATGTGACAAGACAATCGTAACGAGCCGCGCTGGCGGGCGTGAAGAGCGACGCCGCATGCGTCAGACGAGTTTCCTGCCAACAGTTCAAATATGAACTGTTAAGGAGGGGAAACTTTGACCCCATCCATGAAGTCATTTTGTCTCCGTTTGCATTCGTCTGAGTTTCGCTGCTTTAATCGCTGCACGGTACTCCGACTGTCTTGTCCGTTTCCCTTGTAGACGCTGCGTTGGAAGCAAGAGCAGAGGTATAGGCGCGATGCACCGCAACCACCCACGACTGTCTTGTCCGTTTCCCTTGTAAACGCTGCGTTGGAAGCAGGAGCAGAAGCTATTCAGGTTGATGCATATGTTTTTAAACCCCGACTTTTTTGTAAATATCCCAATGGCGAAGCAGCCTAAACTTTAGTGGTATGCACCATCACCATCCACTACTCGACGCCAACGCTCAGGCAGCTTGTCGATTCCATCCTCCCAGAACGACGGGGGCTGGAGATTCGAAGAAGGCCACAATCACCACTGTGACATGGTTTTGTACTGGTAAATTGTGCGGCATTGTAGCCTGCAAATGCAGGGTGGGTGAGTGATAGCTAGTGTGGAAAGAGTATCATGTACATGTCCGCAAAACGTGCATGACGAATACAACATCCATGCAAACGAAATATGGAAGGATCAAATTTATAAAAAAGTCGGGATTAAAGACATATGCATCAACCTAATAATTTCATGTGAAACGACTGATTTCAAATTCAGCTAAAAAAGCACCTGCTGGCCAGTAGTCTCGAATCTCCTATCAGTATGATAGACATTAAACGAGTTCATACTCATGTTCAACACTTGTAGAAAATTACCATCAGCAGCCGTTGAGATTTCCCATCGTCCTCTGAACAGATAGGTTTTGTAAAACGTTTCATCGACTACAGCAACTTGTAATGATTACTTCAGACTGGGGAAGTTCGCAGCTAGTACTTCCTGTATTGTTTCCTGGTACTTATTGAACGATAACTTTATCTAAAACAGATTTAGGAATATTTCTTAAACATTAAAGCCCTTGTGAGTGGTCGAGAACATCGCCACGTTTTCGAGCCAGCCAGGGCTGAAAATTTCATAACAATATTTGCAACTTTGCTAGATATTGTCGACATGGCGCATAAATTTAAATAAATAAATAAGTAAACAAATAAATAATAATCTGAACCATTTTGGAGGCTATTCATGAGCCTACAACGGGTTTGATAGTTTCGCTATGGGGCTTGGCGAGCTTGCTCCAGCTTTATAAGAATTCACAGTTGTCACCACAGTGAAACTTGGAAACCGGACCAGTGAAGCAGCGGCGGTGCAAAATGCCTTCCCCTCCCCCCCCTCGTCTCCCCCCCGGCGCCAAAACTTCGAAAAGAATTAATCTTCCACAGCTACTGCACAACGTGGAGAAGATGCCAATCACACGGGCCTAGTAGATAGCGACTTTGCCACTCCGGGAACGTTTCATTGAAGAGCTTTAGGACCCTCTACGTGTAACAGCTATGTAAACGTACCGTTGAAAGAACGTGGCTCCAGTCTTCGTAGTGTTCATTTTGGACTAAAAGTCGATAGAAGTCCTGAAATGATTGTAAGGAACTGATTCAAAAGAAGGAAGTGTCAATTTGAGCATCACAAAAATCTGGTGCAGTCAACTGGTGCTAACAGTGAGAAATTAACCTGAAAATAACGTCCTCGATGGTCACGGGCAGTGGGGCCCAGTAGCTCATCAACGTCTTTGTCAGGTTCTCCCAGTAGATAAAACCGAGAACAAAGAATGATCGAAACGTAGTGCGCGCTGGAGTTCAGATACCATTTCGAGAACAGCTCTGCCATGAATCCTAAATGATCGCGGTAACAGCTATCCACTTGTCATCGAGGGAATAGCGACCATAACTTTTTTCGACTAATTTTCCCGAACTCTAAGACTATTTACCTTTCACACACTTCTCGAAGTAAAGGTCTCCCTGGGGATCCAGTTGCCACATTTCTGAGCTCATTTGAATGTATATCAACACCTGAGTGAGTCAAGTGGGGACAAGGGATATTATGGAGCGAGAGAAAAATTACACAGAAATCCAAATTTGGACTTTACCGAGCTACTACTTGACCGGAACACTACACGTGTGTCCGATGAGACAAATCCACTGCGAACGACGTTACCTTTTTGCCACATATCGGAAATTTTAGTGCTGATATTGGAAAAGTGGTCGTTTCAAAGCCTTTTTTTTTTTAACTAGGAACGAATCACTACATGACTCTCGAATTAAAAGCAAGTTACAGTGGGTAAAAAAAGTAGTAATTGTTCAATATATCGTTCATAATTTGAAATCGTATTATTGGTTGAGACTTGATTAATTTTTAACATAACAAGAGCCAGTTAATTATTCAAAAAATCAGAAAATATTTATTTAAGAAATGAATACCTGCTTGTCAAGATAAGCACAAAGATACTTTATCACATCCCGTGACTGTAACCGCCGGCACATATCCGATCGGCTCCCGAACTCCCCCTAATACAACTCTTAGAAAAGTCATAGTTGAATATTTTAATCATACAACTCTTTGAAAGTTAGTTGAATATTATCCAAGGTAACCTGAATTATAGCCGATTAAGTAGAAGAGAAGTTAGCACAAAAAGGATAAAGTTTACAGAGGTAATCGCCCCCTTCAATATGCAACACACATTCAACTCCCATTCAGATCCAGGGCATGTCGTGCGTTGGGAATTCCGAGCGGTGGGTCATATTTTAGTTGCTGGAGGAGGGGGCCGTTCAGGCACAAGAAAAAAATTTTGTTGGTTTTCCCGCTTCATCTATCCAGAAATTTAGGCAAGTTTTTAGAGGCAATTTTAGGGGACAGGAAAATGGGAGAACTTAGGACGGTAGTTAGATAGGAATGAGAGGAACCACAGAGGATTAAATCAAAGGGGGATTCGTTGGGGATTTGAAAAAAGTTTTTCAGCTTCAAACAACGATAATTTTCTTCTAAGGCAACTGCTTGCAAACATAAGAGCAGTTTTAGAAATAGCGAGATTCCCTCTTTCAACGAATCACGCATGACTTGTTTTGGGAGTTTGTGGGTGTATGAGATAATTGCGTTGGGGCTTCATTGGGGAAAACTTGGAGCTGCGTGAAGAGCCCGTTTTTTTGGTACTATTTCACGTAGGCATATTTGAATACACAAAATTACATCTAGAACGGACCTCTAAGTGGAACAGAAGTAGGTGGTGGTTGGTTCGGCGCCCATTAGCTTCAGCTCCGGGTGCGGTATGCATTTTGATCCCAGGGGTAGTGCAGTGGTGCAAATTCTACATAGTGTCTATCCATAGGAGCAGATGTGTGTATCGGGATCAGAAAGGTCCGTGACCTAGCTACGCACTCTGAGTTATACGTTTCAGTCATCTATGTACTTACGAGCTTGTGCAACTTATTAATGCCCTTCGAATTTTGTAGTTTTTTCTACATCAGGGTTCGACCTTTGAGTTTACCGTTACTGACTAACTCTCTACTTACGATCACCCCCACGTCTCGCGGCCAAGTACGACCCTCTTTCATCGTCGTTGGAAAATTCCCAGGAATGGTCAGGATACAACATCGTTGTGTGGAACACATAGGGGAGGGCGTACATTTTCGCCGCGGAGGGGGTCTAATTTCTTTCGCTGTTGGAAGAGGGAGGATCGTATTCGTCTTTGCGAGGATTTTGCCGCGTTCGGAAAAAATTTTACTGTTTGTTGACTTTTCGCGCGATTTTTCTTGTTTCATGTGTACTATATACACCCCCCCCCACCTCGTTCGACCTGACAATTTTTGGGTAGAAGTGGGGAAATTTTCGGGAAGTTCCGGAAAAAGCGGAAGTTACGAAATATTCCTGTTTCATATTGACTATATATACTCCCTCCCTCCGCCGCTCGAACGGACTATCTCTGATAAAAGCTGGAACAGTGCTGGGAAAATAGCCTGGGTAATGCTGGGAGCGGGAGAGTGTGGGGCGTAGCGGCACCCATCACTTAGGTGGGGGAGGTGTCGTTACAAGGACGCTCCCTCAGAGGGGGTCCGGTAACTAGCACCACCATATTCACGTATCATCGATGAATTCCCTCGAGGGTGTCCTGTTCTCTAGGCAGGAGGGACCTCGATTCTGCCATCAGAAACAGTAAGTTTGACGTGCCTCCGACTAGAGGAGGGAGAGAGTGAAGATATGAAGCACTTGAAACGGGGATAACTATCCGCTGAGAAAAGGATTCAGCCATAGCTGGGCCCTATCCCTAAAAACTAAAATACAACCCTTCTGCCTGTGTCCAGATTTCTTCAGCTATGTACGGCTTATAAAATTATGCTGCTCGCAAGACTACACACAAGTTCAAGAGACAAAGAAACTCAGGCGAGGACCCATGACGGCTTCAAGACTACTAAAAGTGGAAACTACCTCTTCACTTTTCTTCTTCTCGGCCTGCACTGACACACCACCAGTTGAAGAGAACGTCTTCGAGAGAGACTCACCAAGGAAGGAACGTTCTACCGATATGACTACTTCCTATACGAGCAAAGATAAATTTTCACCATCGAACAAACTGTTCCAAAATGATACCTACTTTCAGTTCCTTCTCGATGAACTCATCCACATAAATAACTATTTGAGTACGTGCTTTATCTATAGTTTCTATACTGAAGAAGCTTCCAGGAGAGAATAATTTACCCATTTCACTGTTTCCTACCTGTAATTGTTGGTTCGCAGTAACTACTGTTGCTGCAATAATGTATTAAAAACTCACCACTATGACGTTGTGATTCTTTTGACATTGTTGCCCTTTTATTTTCTGAAAAATGGACAGGAGCTCAAGACTGCTACGAAAGGCAACGTCAGTAAAAGCAACACTTAAATAGGCACTTTTGTTAGAAAATAACAGTGCGTGACTGAAAAATAATAGCGGCTGTTTCAATAAGAGCAGCTGCTGTCAGGGAAGGAAGCATGGAATTAAAGGCATAAGGCACGAAAATTTGGTACTCGGTCTAAAAGGGTAGCAGGGGTGCTATATAGGGGGAATGTGGCGAAAAAGCGAAGTAAAAAGGTCAGAAGCCTGCGAAAGACGTTTATTCTACCTGACTCAGAAAGCGATTTTTGATAAGTTCCCCGTTGGTATAGTGTATTTCGTTGTCGACGGTTAGGCGTGTCAGGCGGGATGAATTTGGCGCGGTGCCAAACCCGTTCTTCACCAGTTGTTAAAGCGAGCAAATGATATGACTGCATCATATCGTTCGTATTACTCGATTTCTACCGCGCTTCAACAAGAACGCAGAGAACGGCTTCGACGGGGTGACACACTCATACTGCCCGACACGCCCAACCGTCCGCAGCGAACTAGAGTGTGTCGTGCCAATCACCGCTACGGTAGATAGGGCTGCATGTATGTACTCATATATCCATGCAGCACCGCAGCCGCTTCATATCAATCCCTTCGCTTCATATTGTACTTTTCATGTTGTACTTCGCAAATGAAGCGATACGACTATCAACATCGGACGGCCATTTGCGGGCGGATGCGGTGGGCGTCCGAGTGCAGCTTGATAGGGCGCTATAAGAGTACCTTCCTTGGAAAAGACGCCATGCAGCGCCTGCTGAGGGGTGCCGAATACTGTCCTGCTAGGCATATTGATCCTAGACGTCTTGGGGAGTTATGCCTTTAAATGCTCCACACCTTCCGCCACACTATCTTTTGCCCTTTTTACATTCCGAAAATATCAAAACGAACAGTGGATGAGACACTAGCGTTTTGGACGCATCAAGTCTTACTACCTCCTGTGTCTCATTTACCACATCCCGCCAGGACACCTGCTGCCGGAGGAAATTTTTGTAAAATGCAACCTCCCTTCCCCTTGCTACTTACCACATTCCTAACTTCCCACAATTTACTCCACTCTTCCCAGTCTCCAAAAAGTTTAGTCCTCCCAAAGGAAAGGAAAAACTGGTTGAACGGGCGGAGGAGGACAAGTATGTCGCCAAACAACTGCCATTTTCAACTATCGAAAATGATAGCTGTGTAGAACTTCGGCAGCGTTTTCAGCTTGGGAGGAGCAAGTACGACCTCTCCCGATCCCCAATAAGAGTCTCTCAGCGTTTTGGATAGCGCATATGTATGGATGTAATAAATGTTTTGGATGTAATAAAAAAATTTCTCTAGACAAATACGACCCCCTCCCCATCATTGAAAAAAAACTTGAAAACTCCGCGGGGCGAAACTTTAAGACGCTTCCCATTAAAAAAAGGTAACGGACCGAACCTGATAGCGACAGCTGTTTAGATGGCAAAACGAGTAAGAAATCGTGGCTGCAGGTTTTTTTGAACCAGTAATTAGTGAATTAAAAGTAATGAGGGCAGAGAGAAAACAATTACAGGAATCGCAGTCTAGGATGAGGAAGGTTAGCGTATGAATACAAAGAATAAAAGAAAAGGAACGCAAACGTCAGGTCCAACTTTGGACGAACCAAAAATATTTTTTTCTATTAGTGTATCAGTCAACTCGAACTCTTCTGCACTTTATGTTACTTTTTCTGGTCCTAAACTTTTTCTACGAATGAAGCACCTCTGTTTTCTCTACAGATGGGTATTTCACAGTTTGGAAAGAGAGCAGATAAACACACTCGTCATTCAAATATATCAACAAGGATTGGTTCGTCCAAGTCAATTTAGTAGCAGTTTTTTCAGAAGATTTGAACATTAAAAAGTTCAGAAATACTTACCGGTACTGCCTCTCGTAAACAACGACACTGATCTGTGGTGTGTAGATCAACACGCGCTCGAACGGGGAATGCATGGGTCCCCACACTTGTTGAGGGAACCTCTACAGAGCACATCACATCCTATGCTAGTATTTTTCTGCAAAATTTTAATTGAACTGAGTTTCGATGCAATTAAAAGCCTAATTTTATCAAAAATCCTTATTTTTTCACGAGGCTTAGCCGCCTCAACTCATAGTGAGGCGTTCTTTTCCTTTCCATTCCAGGGGCAATATTACAGCGATTCGCGACTAGTTAATGTCGTCACAATCAGTGGGCGGCGTCAGGAAGCACAGACTGAGCTTATCCGCGAATTGTTACCACTGGTTGCTTTCTACTCGGAGCGTCTACCATTGGTAGAAAGTGCAGCCATGCTCAAAGGAGGCCCTTAACACTACCCCGGCTCTATTGCAACGATATCAGCTACCCACAGCTAACTTTTGGTCCCCGAAAATACAAGCGATTTAGCGTTACACTTCGCGTCGATGCGCTACAACGCTATAGACGCGAACGCAGCCGCAGACGGTAATCGATCGGCGCCGGCCGCTTGAGTACTGTGAGAGTGTGGGGGAACAGGAGTGTACGCATCGCTCAATCACTCACTCTAATATCGATCGGCACTGGCCTCTAGGGTTTAAAGAGAGTATAGAAGGCAGCGCCCACCCTCTTATCTTCTCTCGAAGCACAAGCGGCCAACACCAAATTATTAGCGTCTCAATACCGTTAATGGGACTGAAGCGCTGTTGCAAATGTAGCAGGGGATAGCGCGCCGACCCGCGCTCAGTCTTCGCGATCGCGCGATCCACATCGCGCGACCGCGAAATCTGAACGCGCTCCTTACAGCGACATTGGGTAGTCTGAACGCTGCTCACCATGGCTAAACATAAGCGAAAAATTTGCTTGTGTAAGACGTGAAATCAAGAGAGAAGACACACGTCAGAGTGACATCCAGCTTTCCTTAGAATATCCTAATCATTACGTTCAGTATCATACAAGGATATTGGCTTACCATACAGCAAGGAAAGATAATAATTTCAAGAACTTCATTCCGCAACGACGAATGAACTCGTACAACCGATCAATTACTCTGAAGAAAAAATTAAATAGTTAAATTCAACAAAACAACAAGCAACGGAGATAAATACAATTTCTTTTTTGACATTCGGCTATAAACAACACGAGATATCACTGAGGATCCACAAGGACGATCCGATATTCGAACAGTAGCCAGGGAACTGATACAAACAAATAACAGGTCGTCGTCAGCGAGAAGAGTAATCAACAAATGGTCATTACATTTACAATACGAATAAGACAGAGATGCTACATTTTGCACGTACCAGAAAGCCATGTAGGAACTACTTGGTTACTGTTTTAGTAGCAGAGCTTCATCTTACTACCCCATATGACAACAGGAGATAAACCGCAAGGAACCAATCCAGTTCACCTAATTTATTCAAGACCACCGCTAATTTGAATACATAAACTCTTATAGGGTGTAATCTAACTCGTATCGTACAAATGTATGTTTTTCTGTATCTTCAATACGTGGGTAACCGGCAACGAGAGCGTCCTGTGAGCCGAGGACCAAATTGTTGTAAACCTAGAAAAGAAAAACGTTTATTCAATTTTCAAATACTGGTTTCAAAAAGCATGAAATTTGAAGGTTTTTCTCACTTGAAAGAACAGGTTTGTCATGAAATACGTGAGAATCGTGGAACTAGGGTTGAAAATTCTTACGGAGTACGGCAGAACCGAATCCGTCAATGACGCCGAATATGCTCAAACCTATTACTGCGCTGCGCGATAGCAATTAACATAAGGGGCACGCACGGCGCGAAAAAATAGGGAAATTCATTCGCGGAGCAAGAAGGTAACTCTGACGTGGAACAGAGTGTTCAAATGCTAAACCACTTCGAAAAAAAATTGCTTTCCTCCTTCCCCACCTGAAACAGGCAGCAATATCAGGAGTAGAATATCGAAAAAAGCAACATACTTCTACTGTAAAGACATCCGGGAATGCAAAGCGCCAAGCCAGGAAACGTTCTCATAGGCGCGCCTTGTCTGAGCTAAAACCCTTTATCTTCATGTTTATTAGTATATTTTTTCCGCTTACGAAGGCATTTTAGGACCATGCTTCCTTCAAACGCATCTGTGACTCTACAGTGAAGGCTAAGGGTTTGCAGCTGTATAGAGACAGCCCCGCGCTCAAGTAGCAGTGTCCTTTCCAGGTAGTACAGCCCCCACAAGCTAGAGACTCTCCCACTCTCGCGACTCCACAGCGAGCGAGGAGCGAGCTACAGCTGCTGGAGTTCTAGTCTGACGCCCGCAAAGTTGCACCGCCCACTTGCTAGATGCTCTGCTACGGAGGGCCGCACACTTATTCTTTGTCGGGGCGGGCGGGCATTAATCGGAATTGCATGTCCTTTTTGCTGACCGCGCTCGTGCCCATGAATAATTCTGCTCTCCTTTATTACATTTTATTCATTAGCACATACAGTCAACTCCAACCATCTCGCAAGGTAAACGCAGAAAATATCACGAACGACCCAAATCCCGTGGTGCAAAGAACTCGACGCACTACACTACAATAAAAGATGCACGCTACCGTAACCCTAATTCGGACGCCGAGTTTTTGAAAGTTTCTTTTCCTTTTCAAGAGTTTTCTTCCGTGTTTTTGTTGTTTTCTCGTATTCTTTTCTTTGCACTGGATGATATTCATTACTGAGATGTGATAAAGGGATTTGTGAGCCAGAGGTTGCTTAGAGACCGCAGGGAGGTGTGACTGTCAGGGGCAATTTTGTTCATAGTGTTCTTGAGGACTCTTCTGCTTTTTTTCAATTTTGTTCATAGTGTTCTTGAGGACTCTTCTGCTTTTTTTCTTCCTTCGAGGTCTTTGAGGATTTACTTATCAGCTTCTGGTTCATAACTGAGAAGCAGCTATCCATGATATTTCTATCGCGGGCGCTCTAAGTTCAACTTCTGACACCCACTCAGTTGAACCGTCTACCCAGAAACATCCTCTCTGCGCTTAGCGCCACGCTCTCAGTTGTGGTCTGGTAGAGCGATGGCCATAATCCAAACTGTGTACCATTGCCTTTTTTCGCCATGAGCGAGCAATTGCATATCAATGAACTCGATCTCGCAAATAAGAATATCGCTCACATTATGCAGTGTATGTAATGCCTTTGGTGGCAATAGAGTCTGGATAGTGGTTTCCGCAAACCACACGGTTTCAAACTAGGAATGAAAAGCTACTTTCTATCACAAGTTTCACTTTTAGACCGTGTTTTTCGGGACAGACCATCCAAAGAAGTCCAGGTAAACACATAACCAAACGCCGCTTATGTACCCCATATTTTCCGCTACGAAAAGTGGGGATAGGAGGAGCATGCTAATGACGTCTCGCGCGTAGTTGGGGAAGTCATCAAGGGGAGCGACATTTTTTTTTTTTTCTTCAGAGAAAGCGGCACTACTTTTGCTTGTTTGCTTCTTGCTGCGGCAGCGGCGCAGGGAAGAAACAGCAAAAGGCATGTAAAAATAGAAACATAGGTAGAACACAGGAACGAATATGCATGCAACCAACTAACCTTCCAAACTGGCTCCCTCACTTTGCGCGCTGGATGCCAAAGAGTCTTGCAAACAATACTGCAGTACCTGAAAAGTAGGTGACATCAGTAGAGGGGAAAAAAATCGTCAAACGTATGCGTGCAATCTCGAAATTGAAATAAACGTGACTACTGCCAGACAATCCTAATTCTATAAAGCTGAACGTAACATACCTTAATGGGCCCAAGTGAAACACGCATTCCTTCGCAAGCGAATATGTACCGCTGAATGAGATGGGGAGAGTTCTCCAACATTTTAAGGCAGATACGTAGTTCAACAAATGTAACAACGCATCTTCACAGCCGAAACCGTAAACACCTGAAAAAAAAAAAGCAGTCGGAACCTCAGAACCCTGCAGTCGGAACGGAACAAATCCTCAGCTGTGACAGAAAGAAATAAGGAAACTTCAAACCATTTACCGAGGGAAGAGATGTGCTACTGCATCGATTGCAATTTGTCTATGCACTTGATCTCGCTCCATCATAGCATCAACTAGCAAAGGTGTTACTGCATAAATATAATCCTTTGCCATTTCCCCGATATACTGCAACAAAACCGTGATTAGAGCTCATATGTATTTCTTCAACACAACCTTTGTTTCATGATTTGTTGGAATTTCACGAGAGAACGCATACCATCAAGGCGTTGTGCAGAGAAAAGAGTGCGCAAGAGATGGCAACTGCTCCTTCTGCTGAGCTCTGATATACGCAGCAAAGAAGAGGACATTGAAGGAACTTCCTAAGCAAAACTTAATGACCGCAATGGGTGGGCCAATTCCGAGTACAGTACGGTAGTTATACTTGGATGACGCCAACACATTTTTCAGAAGAAATTCTTCGAGGGGCAGTTCAGCTCGATGGTGCACGAAATTGCACTCAGCGAAGCCTAAAGAGGCCACTGAAAGCCTCTAAACTCTTGTGACTGGCTCACCTGTACCATTTCGAAACCTCACATGAGTTTACAGGCCCCAAAGTGAGACTTGTTAGTACGACGATCTAGCAAAAGGAACTAGGATAAATGCAAAATGTCCCTCGCAAACGAACAACGCCGTCTTTTGATAATCCCAAGTTTATCAGCACGAAAAATTATGTCAGGGAAACCTTCCTACCTCAAACATAAACGACAAAGCTTTGAGCACTCCATTCTGTACATTCATTTCCGGTACTCGATACTCATTCATAATGGCTGGGAGTACGGTGAAAGGAGCGCATGTTTCTGCCACTATAGCTATCGCTACCGTAGTACACACACGCAGCTGTCTCTCTTGTACTTTCAAGTTGTTCAAGAGTGTGGCAAGGACGTCATGAGGACCAATGGCCTATAAAATAATTGATAATTTAATGAATACACGAGCTGTTACGACCAGAAATATAGTTCCAATAATACCAGACCTTAGCAATAAATCCAAACGTATTGATGGCAGCTCTACGAATGCTTTTCTTGTGAGCTTTGAGCAGTTCCAGAAGTTCGAAACAAATTCTCATCCATTCACGAGCAGACACGAATTCTGAGCCACGATCCGCAATCGCACCAACCAAATCAATACAGTTTTCTTGCACCTTCTCGTGACGATTTTTAAGAATCGGAGTCAACCTGAAATTTCAGTGGTATAAACAGCAGTCACCACATGATGGAGCGATATGTATGGACCTATTACAGACACAGGCCTACCGGAAATCGCGCGTGAAATTAAATGTTCTGGTTCCGGAAAGCACAAAAAATTTTGTGTACGGTAACCCGGCTTATTTGCGGATGAAGCGTTGGCGTGAGGCCAAGAAGCGAGGGCGACGTTAACTCAGCCTTCTACCTCTAACCAGCGGCTGCCTCGGCGAGATTTAAACGGTGATGCACTCACAGCTCCTACGCACTCAGTTTTGCACGCTTTTTGGGATTTGTATACCGCCTATTTCCTGAACTTAGTGATGGAGGTATAGGAACCATCAATCATGAACATTGTAACTTGTTCGACACACTAACCTGGGCAAAAGATCCTTGATAGGAGGTGTCATTTTTGTCATTCCGATAACATTACAGATTGATTTCAACGCTCCAAGAATTGATCCAAGTACCTTTAGTAAGATATTCATTAGGAAGTGAACTTCTACACGATCACAACACTTCAGCATACCTCAGGGTACTCTTCTCCGAGGTACTCGTACAACACTACACCTAAATGCCCCATAAGTTTTTCTTCTTCGCAGATGTGCATGACCGGGGCAACTCGGGCAATCTAAAAACGGCCATGATTTTCAATGCAACACCTCTCGGACCATAACAGTGCCCTTGTAAATCAATGCTCTAAAAACCTACAAGATCAGCTGCTTGTTGTCGCACTTTAGCCGACTTGTTGTTCAAACGCCACAAAATTGTACCACAAATTTGCGGAAGATACGGCTTTGTTCGCCTGGAAAATGACTTAGTTTGTGTAAAGAACGGCTACCTTAACAGGAACGTGTTGATGAACATACCTTCCTAGACCTTTACACACCGTACCAAAACCGTCAAGCATAACAGCATCCTCTTGCGTTTGTTCTTGGAATGCATACAGAATACCTGTAAAAAATTCCTCGGATCAGACGCCACTTCAGAGATCCATCAAGGAGAAAAATCTGACAGATTTAAAGACACATTTCGCGACTATAAATCGATTATGAATCGTAAATACTGCGCTTAAAAAAACAGCAGTATAAAAACTAGTCAATTTAGCAACAATGAAAAAGCAAAAGAAACCCTCAAGAGCGCTCTATATAAAAGCCCACTATTTCTGAGCAATCAACTGAAGGAGAAGCCCGCTTCTGTACGAGTTCTTCGTCTCATAATGGCATGAATTCGTTTCCCCCTCCATCTCACTTTCACCACTACGATCGTGATTATTTCAAGTGTTCCTGCCTTAACTAAAGGCCGCAGTGAGCGGCCAATGACACAGGCTGGGAGGAGTCTGACTTTCACATAGACCTCCCAGTCGTTTTAGCTGTGGAAATCGGGCTACCATGAGCAAGCAAGGAGTTCTCACATTGAGTAGTCGCATGTGTCCTCAAAAATGAAAAAAAAACTAACCGTCAATTAACTGCTCTTCAAGCCGGGAATCAATTTCATTCGCACCTTGCAGTGCAACAATATTTTCCACAGTTTCCATAACCATTTTCCTGAAATGAGACCCTTTAGTAAATGAAGAGCGCAAACTAATGGAGACATTAGAAGCAGCATGATACCTGTATTGTTCATTCTCATCTTTGAGGTCATCCACAATTCTCGCAATCATTTCTGCACTGCCCACCTTTTGCGCCATTTCGACCGTGGTATCCACAAGTTGCCTGCAATTACATATAGAAGATTTCTCAATAATCATTACGAAAGTTTCAGAGAAAGATGTCCTAGGCAAGACCCGCGATGATTCGGTCGGCACTTCTCAAAGGACATTGTGATTCGAGGACGCAAGGGACATTGGTGATTCGGAGGAATCAGCGATAGAGGACCAGATATCTGAATTGATTGGGGTGCGTGGTCGCGCTCCCTCCAAGTTAAAAAATTGTTGAAATCGTTTCGTGCCAACGCCTTTTCGCTGAATTTCACCGTTTTTCATTTTTTTAATGTCAGATGGTGCCAGCGCTGGTTGACGCGTACAAACCATCAGTAAGCCAGGAGCATCGGTGTCTCGCTTTGTCGGCATAAAACGTACAGGACCAGGGACCGGAGAACTGGGCAACAAAGAGGCTGCTGGGGTTATTGGTGTTGGTCCTTTGAAATTTTTTTGATTGCTTTTTCCTGGAGAGTCACTTTGCGACTATATGCGTTATTGAGCGCCACTACCCACAACATACAATCGCGGGTTCCCCTTCAAGGAGCATGCTTACCTGTAATTTCTCCTGTCCATCGCCATACGTTGCGTCCAGAAAGCTTTGAAGAAATGTGGCAGAATCTCGTCACGAATGTATGGCGCTTCAACACCATCAGTAGCACAACACTGTTTCACCGACCTAACAAGAAAATATAGATGACTATTTTTGTCCAAAGCACAATCAAACTAACACAAAGAAAATTAAAACCTACTTTGAGTACAATCTTCTTCATTTCCTCATCAGGTGACGCAAACTCCCTAATGAGAATAAGCATCACTTCTTTGGTATAGTAGGAAGCATATTCAGCGTCCATAAGGGGAATCAGATAACCAATAGCTTTAAGGAATGCTGCATAAAACCTTTACCACGGCATACGAATACCCTGAAAGGATAGCATCTAAAAAAAACCGAGTTCATTAAGGCTGATGGAGATAGAGTATCTTCAAAATCGATTACAGCTAACCTTCCACAGCGGTTTCAGCACGGAGTCGAAAGCTTCGATACCATAAGGTGTAGCAGCTTCGGCAAGAGCGGCAAGACATAAAGCTGTGATTGTACGCACCTGAAGATGAAAGGCATATCAGTAAATTCTCCGTAAGAAGACACAAAACGAGTCACCTTTATGCTGTTCGGTCTCCTCCACCTTCAATCAATGTTCAACAAGAACAGCGCTTAAAGATGTGGGAGCAAGCTGCACAACCCATAAGAATCACGCCATGTTTTGTGGACAAGTTTTGAGTCCGAATTAGAGAAGATCGCTGCCATCATAAATGGATAAACATCAAGAAAAATTAATTCTTACCTGTATGTCTCGCTTGCCAACTCTTTCTGCTTTTACATACAGCTTTCAAGAAAGGAAGTAGTGCTGGTATACCGAGTGCGGATGCGACCACAGCAAAAGCACGAGCAGTTGTGTTTCGTACATACCTGAACAGATTTCACTTTTAACAGGAGACACCTTCAGAGTGCAGGTGTACGGAGGTAGTAACTGGCGTCATTGCTACCTCACCTCTTCCCACATTCTCCACGATTCAGAGAAAGAACAATGAAGGGTGCGCCAACGAAATTATCTACTGGCCTCGCCTGCTACGACAATACCGAACGGTGTCTATGAATACTGGAAAACCCATGAAAGACTACGCAGTCTAATAGATGTAAATGAACCGACTTCGGCTCTAGCAACCTTGCAGGGGCATTCAAAGGACCGTAAAACTGGTATAATCGATAACAGAGCTACCGTAATTTGTACTTTATAGCCACACCCAGAGCTAAGTGGGGTATATGACCAAAAAATAGTTATGTGTCGCGCTTGTACGTGGCGAGTAACTTCACCCAAAGGTACGAGATTTTGTGATGAGCTATTTTAATTAGAACGCTGAGGGTACGGCAAGGTTCGTACCGCACGGCATGGAACCTTCCATCCGGTCGCGTTCACCTGAATTTAGCTGCTCCGATCGTCATAATTCACACCGGGGGCATCCGCGCAGTTCACATCTGGGGCATCCGCGCACGGCTAAGCTGCGCCGCACCCGAAGGTTGTGGAAAAACAAAATCATTTTGTCATTCTCTCCACCCTTCCCCTTTAGGCTAAGGCGAAGTTTCGCATATTTACTACAATAATTAATCCCTCTAACTGCCCCTTACAGGATCATTAGCGATTCAACTTAAATTGCAAGACTCACTCGTCAACGTTGTCGATATCCGGTCTCATTGTGGAGATCATAGTTGCCAAGCCAGCAGCTTTCGCCAAATTTGATATAATTTCACGACCTAGAAAGCAAGAAGAGTATTTTATATGATGGTTATAATACAGTATGCGTTACCGTCATCCTGCTTGAACCACGATAGCTCATCAAAAGATGAGCTGCCCGCAAGTAAACGAGTCAATTCAATTCAAACCTTCAACTCTTGCATAATAATCTTCGTCAATAAGGAGAGGCTCAATCACCACAAGAATTTTGTGAACGTATGGACGAACGAGATCATCTAACTTGTAGAGTATACGATCGATTACCTAAAAAATAAAAGTAGATTTCCAATCGCGAACGAATTCAAAAAAGAGCACATTCGGACTAATCAAGCAAACTAATGCAACTACATAAAAATAAATAGAAAAGATGTTGAAGTCGTCGATCCCAATGTCGCACATCTGAGAGAATACTTACCGTAACTTACCGTGCGAGAATCATCGGCAACGATTCCCCTCTGCTCTGCGCGTCACTCTAAAAGCGCACGTGCAAAGAGGAACATTAAAAAACTAGTGTTTTATTGAAAACAATGCAGCGCCCATTGCAAGGCTCGGCAAGCATCCCAGACCCAGACGACTTAGAAACAGCGGGCGTCAACTTTCTGGGCAGCTCTCCAAACCTTTTCAACAAATTCCGTCTTTTTTTGTCAAGAAATTTTAAAGTAGGGAATGATCGATTCCCTCCGTCCCTCCTTAAAAGGCTAGCAAAAAAAAATGAAATCTGCAACCACAAGAAGCGACCAGAACAGGAATGTTGCTTCAGCAGCTGCACGTTTTTTTCCTTGGAATTTCAATGACACAAGCACGAAATGTCATGACTAGAAGCAGCATTTCACCTTTTTCAAGCAAAATATTGCAAAAATGAAGGTGATTGCCGAGCCCCGCCCTGAATACCATTGGGACAACTGACATACTATCAATATACCTTTTATGTGTACTTATAACTAAAATAAACTATGAACAGATAACTAATTTCTCACCTTCACCATCAAATGGCGTTCTTGATCCTCTAAAGACGGTGACATCAAGAGCGGAAGGATCTGATTGAACAGCGGTCCCGCGCCATATTTCCTAGCATTTTCGGTAATCTAAAAGAAGTAGTTTAGGTAAGACCGGTTTCGCGAAGATACCCTACTTTTAAGGGTATAAGGCACGCCTGTATGTAGGAAGCATTTTCGCCCATATTCATATTTATGATGATTCCTGCCCATGGGAGTAGGACATGTCCGGTCGATAAGGGAATATTTGCGAAATACGCCCCACTCCCTCTCAAGGAGCCCCTGGTACGACCTCCTCTGCCATCTTATCAACTTTTCCCATTTTCCCTTCCTTTCTCTCGAAACTTTCCAAGAACCAGTTTTCTTTGAGAATGCTGCCGTCGCAGCAGGAAGAACTGGGAAAAGTCAAAAGTGAAAAAAAATTTCAAAGGTAAATACGGGGATTTGCAACCTAGGACGTGACTCTTCGCTTCCCCTTCGCAGGAGATTTGCAACGTAAGTCGTGACTTGAAACCCTTAAGCCGGGTTCCATACCTACAAATCCATCAACATTTCTGCCCATCCCTGCAAAAA